TGTACGGAACTTAAAAAGGTTTCGAAGAAAAAAGGATCTTCACTTGGGTACACGGTAAGATCCTTTAAAGGTTCCGGGTTTTTTTTATTCGTTTTTTTAAACTTTCAACACATTTGCAAATTTTTTGTCATCTACCGAACCTTTTTTGAGGTTCCAGAAAGTACCTTTTTTTTTTACAATGTAGTTGCACTCTTCCTTGACTTGACTGAGAGGATATTAGACTAGTTTCTTTTTATGAAAACTTCTTGGTTTTCGAAAATATCGTGAGAAACTCAAATGTTCTCATTTTGAGCTAAGTTCAACGTAGAATTTAGGTATGAAAATGGATAGATAGGATAAACTAACCCAGAGCCACACCCTGTTTTGGAAAAAGTTCAAGGCTTTATCACTTAACTAATGTGAAATGTGCAAGAAAAAATACACGTTACAACAGTATAGACATCGTACAAAGGAAAAAAAAACAATGTCCCTTTTTCTTCTAATGCATTCTCTATACTATATATAATAGATTGTTAATGAAAAGAAGGATAATAATAATGAACAAAAAAAGTAAGGAGACTCAGTTGGCTTCCGCTGTAATTACAAGAAAAAATAAAATTGAAATTAATTGAGCAGCAAGTAATGCTATGTTTAGTGCACCCACAGAGTGTGTAAGAGGCAATTTTGGAGTCTAAGGTAAGATGAACACAGAAAAATGATTATAACTACATTCGTATCGGTTGAATTAAACATTAAAGTGAGGTTACTTGCAACAAAATTTATTCTATATTGAATGACTATCATCATAAAATGAAGAAAAATGTATAGGAGTAACTGATGGATGATATTCATTTAAGACTTAAAAATATAGCGAAATGCTTATTGATCTTTATAAATAAGTGTTTCTATGTATAACCACTTCGATAGTTAATGATGCAAGCATTCTGTAAAACTCGAACTGAAGAGAATGTTGAAGTATCTAAAGTAGACATGTGCACTCTGCTTCCTCTCGCAAATCGTGACAAGTGAGTTCCCAGAGTCATCAGGATGTGGATAAGGCGGAACACTAGACTCATACTCACATCCTTCTCATATATTTCGGTTCATCAAATTGATCTAACTTTTCATTAATGAATGATATCTGACAAAAATTAAAAATCACATAATCATTTAAATGAAGTATATGAACAAGTTTGTTCAAATGATATTGATAAATAAAATGAAAATAACTTCAAACAATCAAATTCTTCATATATATTTCATCAGAAGTCATGTTAACACGTAATCTTGTCTATGTATGAAATAATTCTGATTAGAGAAAAAAGAAAATATAAAAAAAAAATTAATAACTTTCAAGTAAAATTCAATTAGCTGATTTAATTTTATTTGTTTTTATATAATCAGCACGTAGATATTTTTGATTCTCTTATTGGACATCCAATTAAGTTTGGATAATTTTTATTATCGTTTAACCATGGAATTATAGATTGATTAGGTTTAGATTTATTTTTATTTTGTTCAAACCGCTCCATAATTATATCCAGTAATAATTTAACTGATTCTACTACATTAATATTTTTTAATGCACTTGTTTCAATATAATTAATATTATATTCTTTAGCTAAATCTTCTGCACAAGCTTTTGATATAACACGTTCCTTTTCTAAATCACATTTATTGCCAACAAGTATCATAGCAGTTTCTGAATAGACATTGTTTTGTATTTTATCTATCCAATTGCGTACATGAAGAAATGATGCTTCATTCGTTAAGTCAAACACTACCAAACAACCGACAACATCCTGAAGAGTGAATGGTATTAGAGAACGATAACGTTCTTGACCAGCAGCATCCCTAAAATTAAAATAAAACTTTAATTATATTATTTCCTTCTAAGCAAATTGAAGATTTGCCTCTAAGAAGAATTATATTAGTCAGAATATCTCAACATAGAAAACAAGTCGTATCATGTTTACATAGTTCAGTCTTCACCACAAAATTTCATGTGAAAACAGCTTTGCCTATTTTATTAAGTAATTGTTCTCAGCGTAACTATAAATAATCCTCTTGAAAATTTCATGATTAAACAGTCATCAATGAAAATACAATTCGTATTCTGGTTGACTCAAACAACAGAAGTAGTTTCGCACCTTAAGATTATAGTGAATTGTGAAAGAAAATCATCATAGATTTCGAAATCCTAAGTACATCTTCAAAAATGCAAGTCGTTTTTTTTTATTGAAACTTTTTTTTTTGTTTAAGAGGCATCAGAGATTCTTAAGTTTTCTAATAGAAAACAGTCATTTTTCATAAATAACAAAATGAATTCATCTTTTTCAATTATATATAAATCACTAAAAAACATAGGAGCTCTCTAAATTCTTATGTTTAATATTTTTACTTAATGAAAGCCTGATGCATTTTCCTAATATGATATGTAAAATAATTTAAACAATCAAAGTTATGCCTTTGTTTTATTTATACTAAACTATATATCTATTTTTTTTTCTCCTCTGAATAATTACCATAATTGTAAATAAATAGTAAAGACTTTATTTGC